GTCAACCTACCGCCTTGGCGAACTGACGAACTGACTCATCTCAGCTGAGGAAAATGTATCAGCTCTTTCCATGGGCAAAACTCTCTTGGTGTCAGGGATGGGATTCTCAAGTTTATATCCACCCTGGGAATGCTTCAGGAATGGTCTGTAGGGAACATCTTCGCCAGGACGTGGACTACCCCAACTCTCGCAAACAACCCCGCGCCCCGTCCGCCGCAGCCCTGGCTGGCCTGGCTCGCGCTGCTGGCGCCTGCGGGGCGCGTGCGAGCTGCGAGCCCGAGCCCCCCGCAAGCCACCCGCAACCCCCTTAAACACATAAAAACAAGGCAAAACTCTCCCAAACATTTTTTCCGTCCCTCCCCCCCCGGCGCGCGCGCTTTTCCGATTTTCGCTGTTTTGCTCGTGCGCGCGTTTCCCAGCAAAACCCATAGAAAACCCTCAAACGGTAAAAAAAGGCGACCAGCGGGGCCTGGGCGCCGGCCTTGGGGCCACGCTGCATCTGCCGCTGCCGCCCAAAACCACGTAGGCGGAGTACAGCCCAGCGCTGGGGACGCAAGTCGGCTCGAGTGAGCTGAGTCCACTCGCTTGCCCAAGGACAATCATATGGCTCATTTTGGGGTAGGTGCACCGCCCATTTTAGTCTTTTTAGTGGGGATTGGGATGTTCACTGGGGGTACGGGATTTTGACCCACCATATCTGTAGCATCCCAAAGAACTCAGTTGTTAAAACCCATTTAGAAGTTGACACCAGTTGGGCAATTCATAAACGCCGAGTTTTGCAGTTTTACTGCGAGCACCTATAGTTGCTGCCATTCGATGTTATCTTGCTCAGCGTTGACCCTGACTTCACCCACACCTCCACCGGCGCCGTTGTTCTTCTGGTTGAGGGGCTCGCCCTGAAAGTAAAGAACCAACAAAACGGAGCTTTTTTCTCCATGGCCACTGAAGGTCTGGGTTCAACACCAAACTTTCAAGCCTTGAACTGTGTTTTTGCTGTCTCCGTTATGTGGTGACTGGTTCTTAATGAAACAATTGTGACATCATTTTAAGATCCTACAACCCCTCTCTTCAGACTGGGCAGGCACGCCTGTGCGCGAAGGCTTGCTGAAGGTTCCTTCAAGTCGTTTCCCCATGCGATTGGTGAAATGTACGAGTTGCCCACCAGAACCCTGCACCCCTACAGCCAACACCCGCTTTTCTCAGGGTATGGCGACTAATGATGATAAACTCTACAAAGCCAGGTTTTCCAACAAGTAACAAGTACCCCCCCAACAAAAACTGGGTATTTGGAGTAGGGTATGTTGAGTGATCTCCTTTGGTCCATTTTAGCGGGGCCGTTTGCCAACCATTGGGGGGCCTGATAGATGGGTCCTTTGGGTCGGGTCTATGGACTCGGGTCCCGGATGCGTGCCTTGCCTTTCGGGCATGTCCCATGGGTCCCGCCTCACTGAACAATGAAACAGGCTCCGCCAACTGAGCGGGGTTCTTCTTTCTTGCACGAACCCCTCGTGTTTGCAAAGGGTTCCGATGTAAACTTTGTTCCACCGGCCCCCTTACTTCCATGCAGATTTGTTTGTTTCTCGCTGCACCTGTCGCCTTAGCCATTTTAATTTAAGTTTGAACACGGTACTGTACAACAAAGGGTTTGAGAGACCTCGCTTGGGGAACCGTGAAGCAGAATCTGAACGCACGTTTTTGTTGGCGCACCCAACATTTTACGCAAGCCTCGCCTCAGCCCCTGGACCCCCCTCAAGGAGCCTTTCTTTCTCCGCATGTGTGCTCTTTGGGGTCCAGGCTAGGAAGGTTGTCACAACACACGTCTCGCCTCGCTAAGTATGGTCGCCCCAACCAAGGGTTGTTTGGGTTACTGGGCAGCCGGGCCCATGAAGATTTTTCCACCCTGGGCTGCTACTGAAAATCTTAAGAGCTTCACTTTTTGGAACTCCCACACTAAAAAGCCAACAAAACTTGTTGCACAGGGAACCACACTTGTTCAGTCGAACACGGGTCTTTTGTGAGGTTCCCCCTTTTTTTGCGGGCTTCTGATTAAAGGAGAACAAGAAAACTCTAACACCATTTTGAGGGGTTTTCCGGGAAAAAACAAAGCGACATCTCCTTTTTGTTTTGGATGGACTGCACACAGTTGAGCCATCCGTTTCGAGGACAGCCCTGGGTGAGATCCAGCGCTTCGGCGCAGCCGCGCTGGTGGTGAGCCTGGGCTTGGACACGCTGCAGGCCTGGCCTTGTGCCTGGGCTGGGAAGGCGAATTTGGGCGCGTCTCCAAATAGAAAGGACCCCGTTTTTTTGGATGGTCTCAACCTAGGCAACCCCTTGTGGGAGGGTTTAAGCGGCAAAAGGAATGCTAGCAGTTCCGGAAACGGACAGGAAACCAATTCTCAACCTGGGCAACTCCTTTTTTGGATGGTTTGAACGGAAAGCAAAAGGAAACCCATTCGACCTGGGGGAATACGAAGCTGGCGAAAGGCAAGTCTGAGCTTCTACTTCAAGGGTGGAGAAGACACTACAACCGTCGCTGCAAGGGGAAGGGCATTTCAAGTGTGTCCAAGAATTGGGGACCTCCTTTTGGACACCAACATCGAGACATAACGGAAACCCAGTTTTGGACACCTCCAACAGATTCGAAGGCGGGCACGAATGACATGGCATAAAGCTTCACAAGTTTTTTGGAACATCCTCCGAAACATCAAGACAGCCCTTTCAGGAGGAGACGAGCCGAGAGAAACGGCAGGTCTTCTGTGTTATGGTTAAAGGAGGCGGCACATGTTTGCTTACTTGGGGCACCGAAATGTCCCACATACTGGGGCCTGTCCAATGTTCCCATGCCCTCGCTGGTTGCAGTTCAATATCAGAGGTATGTTTTCCATTTTCCCCTTTCTTTGGAGATCCAATGGTATGGGGGTTGACAGGGAGAACCAGGGCATGTTTTTTGTTTTCTGCAGGACGATCCTTGCAGCCGAAGGCGCGGAGGATTCTGCCTGCAGCCGGAAGACTTCCAGGTGCCAGACAGCGAAATCAGAAGCATGGTTTCATGGGGGCTGGGGGGGATAAGGCCTTATTTGGGGGGGCTCCTTCCCCCCCGCCCCGCCCTCCCCCCCCACCCCCATGATGGTGGTGGAAAGTCGGGTTCTGGTTTGCCGCTTGCTGGTGGCCAAGAGAATCCAAATTCAATTAATTGTTCGCAGTCATGGGAGTGACCTGTATCATAGAAGGGGCCCAGTTTTCCACGATATTTTGTAGGGACCGAAAGCTGGGCAAGTTTGAGAGAACTTCACAGCTTCCCGCGCCTCAGCCATTGTGCCTGAAGCATCATGGAAAATGGGGGAGGTGGGTGACCATCTGTCTGGGCAAACTATGCTGGGTTTGCAGCGTCACCCACGATGAAGGTTTCTTTCATTGCGTCCCTTCTCGTTTGTTGGTAAATTGTGACAGTCTGCCCAGATATGTTTGTTGGCTTAGGTCACTTTGCTTCAACAGAGATAGGGTTTCTCTGCTTTCAGTCAGATTCGGATTCTTACAGAAGTCATGGATTTGTCCAAAAAGGACAGGGTGCATAGCAAGTTTCTGCTTTTTGGAGGCTACATCAGGGATGTTTCAACGGGAATCCGAAGCCTTTGCCGGGGTTCTCGCCATTTCACAGTTCTTCAATGGCACCCATTGTCTCTAGGCGGGTTCCCCATTACTGGTGGATCAGAAAGGTTCCTTTTGCCCCCGGACAGCAATGGTTCTGGGTAGTTCCATCAGAACCCCTTCTGAGGTTCTTTCCGGACTCTTGCTCAGGTCCCTTATATGAACCTCTTTGCAACAACGTGAGCAATTCCGAAAAGGAAGACGGTCTTCCAAAATCCACTGATTGTTGAAAGGATACCATGTTGGCAAAGGAGAATATTGGCGGTCGTCTATGGTTTGGGGAGGACGGGCGGGGGCCTACCCAGCCTCAGTTGGTTCCTTACAAACCCAGCCTACCCAAATGAACCAGTATAATTTTGTCCGTCACTCACCCGGTTGGAAATAGGTGGCACTGGTTCAGATTGGTCCTACTTCTTTTTACCAGGGCCATCTATTTCCCAACAGGTCACCTAAGGTACCCTCAGATACGTCGCCAGGACATGGGTCAATGTCTGGCCGGGTGCGGAGTGCCGGTGGTCTTTGTCCAGGAAGGGGTACCGGATGGACGCTGTGGGCGACGCCGCCGCAAAGGTGGTGACCAGCTTAGCGCGGAAAAAGCCATCGACCGCGGCAATGGGCTCTGAAGGAGTTAAAGGTAAATGGGTATGTGCGGTCAAGACTTGTTTGGATTTCCGGTTGGCTTCACTTTCAAAAGGGAAAGGGCCTCCAAGATGACACGCCGTGTTGTCAAACCCGGCCTCACAACCAGGGCCCCGGATTGGGTATCCCCTATGGCGGCACAAGGCGGTGCCAGCGTGCAGAAGGGGGCCACTTTGTTTAACGCCTCCCAAATGGTCATGATTGACAACTATGTCTCATCGTTTTGAGGCGCCAAAAGCGCAATGATTTGTCCATTGCTTGCTTTGCCTGCCATTTGGTGTCCCACGTCTTTGCCATGTGACATGTCTGACAGACCAAATGGCAACCTGGAATTTGTAACCGCAGGGCTTGAATGGTGAAGAACTCACAGGGCTTGAATGGGGAAAAGTTTGCTCCAGTGCGCTGCGAGAGCCGGCCGCGACAGGGAAAACAAAGATCGTTTTCTGGGCCCATACACCAAGCGGTCAAATTGAGGTCGCAAAACAGGTTCGAGGTTGCAAACAAGGCCCTCTAAAACGTCCACAGCCCCTGTTGATCTCTGTTATCACTATAGGTAACCAGCCAGGCTTTTAAGGTTCCCTTGGTTACCGAGGATCTCAGTTATCACAGAATGTAACTAGCCATTTTCCTTTTGGCTTCAAAGGGTTCACTTGAGTATGGACGTTTGCATCACTTGGTCTATCTTTGCCTCCACATGAGTCGCGGCTCGCCAGGTGGGTCTTGGCCGAGGTGAGCAGGCGAAGGAAGACTTGACGGAGGCAGCCTGGCCGCTGGTTCGAGTCGGAAGGGCCCATGTCCCACTGTGGGCATTGGGTTTTTACGAACCAAGCCGGGTATTTTATGCGAGCTCACCATGGAGCAACCCGAAAATGGCGAAGGGGCTGCCCCAGTTGGTCAGTGGCGCCCTTTTCCTTTTTTTGGGAAGGGTGTCCCTTAAAACTCAAGAATCCTTGACGCGCGCAAACGAGGTTTTACCGATACAGCAAGTACACATGCGATAAACATTTCTTGTGGCCCCCGCCGCCCTTTTAGGCGGGAACGTGACTGCCTGTGTTTGCTGGCGCATGCTGACCACATGCTCCTGCCAAATAGATTTAATTCATGCTTAGCCCTTTCCCTTAGTGGGGCCTGATTTTGGCTTCGGCCAGGATGTGGGCTACACTCACTCCAATTGGGGGGGTGGGGTCTTGAGCAATGTGGCGGAACCAACCAAAAAAGGATGCCCTTTTTTCCCATGGCCACTGGGCATCTGAGCTGCCATAGTGGCGCAAAGCCTGGGATCCGGGTCAGATGGTTCAAAGGCGAACCAAAAGCCTGGCCAGGTCTTCAAGGTCTTCGAAGCCCACAAGTACTTTGACGGCACCTCGGCGTCTTTATCGTTTTGGGGAGCCCGGCATGGGAACGATGGGAGAGGGAGACTGTTCTTAAACCACTCCAAGTAGGACTCCGTGAAGGCAGTGGGCTCGTTGAGGCAAGGGCAGGGTCATTCAATGCATGCAACCCGGGCACGTAGTTTGCTTTGTTTCACTGAAAGTGGAGTTGTTTGTGCCGCCACCGATAACATACCCAGTGTTGACTATCGGGATTGCACGCGGCATCGCTGGGCGCCGACTTCGTGACACGGGAGGTCACATGACCATGGCCGACGTGCGCAAGGAGTGTGGTTCTTGACACAGCTCGACATATAGAGCTGGGACAGCTACGATACCTTGGGCATTTTGCTGAGAAGGTCACTGCCTTCACGCTTCGAGGTGGTGGGCCGGAAGTCGGCCATGGATCTCAAGCTGACTGGGGAGTGCCACTGCCACTCACGTGAGGCGCGCAAGTGGGGGAAACCGCCCAAAGAGGAGCCGGTGTTGAAAAGGGAAGAAGGGGATCCCGGACGAGATCCCAGTTGTTGCCCCACCGTATCTCTTGTCATTTTCACAGGATTCAGCATTCCCAACTCCCCCAACCCCTGGTTTCTCCAACGCAACAAGGCCTGATGAAGACCTTAGGAACCTATGACATTTGGGAAGGTCCCGAGGGTTGACGTAAATCCACACGGATTCCTGCTGCACGATATCTTTCTTGCTTGACAGCGCAACTAAATGGCAATGTGTTGGATTTACACAAACCTGGGTACAGTTCCCTCTAAATTGCTGGTTTTACAGCGATTGACTTTCGAATGCTGACCCGAGCGGCGTGATCAGGGTCTCACTTAGGCACATGTTGACCGAACCCAGCCGGAGAACTCAGGGATGGTTCTGTGGGTCTTTCTTGTCCGCCCCTCACCCTGTTTCTCGGGCGAAACCAAAGGCTAGAACTGAGGTTGACGAAAACAGCTTTTTGGTGGGAAGAAACCAGGTTCTCCCAGTAATTGGAGATCATGGGATCCAAGCGATTTCTTTCCTAACCCCCCCCCCTCCCCCTTCCCAACCCCCCCCCCAACTCCCCCGCCCCTGGCCCCCGCCCCCTCCCACTGCCTCTCCCTGGCCCCCCCTCTGGCGTGGCGGTCTCGCCACCCCATCTCCCAGGCCAAGATCGCGCCTTGGATCTCCTGGATGGCGCCCACAAGGTGCGGAGTTTCGCTCCGGGATCCGGGGTTTCATGGTGACTTGGTGTGTGTGTGTGTGTGTTGTGTGTGTGTGTGTTTTCCGAGGGAGCCCCTCTTGGGTCATTATTAAAGAAACCAACAAAGAAAACCATTTTAGTTTGTTTGGGGGGTGGCACCGGGGGTGGGCCGTTTTTTTAACACACCCATTTTTAGAATGTTATTGTAAGGGAAACAAGTGATGATCTACGAGGCCATAGGTGTCTCTTTCAGCTCAACTTGGACGCAGATGGGTGCCAGGTTTCTGTTGGGTTCTGATCATCTACCATGCAGTGCTATATGTTTGTGGGGTGACCAAACATTTGGGGCCTGTGATAAGAATGTGGGTGCCCAATTTGACGCACACCCGTTTGTCAATGGTTTTTGACCATGCTCCTTGTTAGACCATCACAAAAAAGCCAACTTTGTTTCAAAGGACGCTGGCGGGTAGCCATGGTGTCCAATGCACGCGCAGTGGACTTGCATGTTGGAACATTGGGTTTTGAATTTGGTGCGACTGAAGGAAATTCCGGTTACAGTGATAGAGTACACGAATTGCGGGGATTGGACTCCAACTCACTCAAAGAATTACAGGGATTGGACTCCAACTCACTCCAAGAATTGCGGGGATTGGACTTCAACTCACTCAAACAATTACAGGGATTGGACTCCAACTCACTCCAAGAATTGCGGAGATTGGACTCCAACTCATGCACAGGGGCTTATTTTCCACAGCGCAAGCCAGACATGCCAATGCGCTCGTTGCCCAGCTGATCTCTCTTTTTAGCCTTGAAGGCTTTCATTTGCGTCAGATGTTTATTGCACAACACGTTCTCCATGTTTGTTGCAAAGCGTTCAGCATATGTCCGCGTTTCTCTTGAAACAGTGAGGCCTAAAGTATGCAGGCCCCTTTCTCGGCAGGTCACCCTGAAGTTATGGAGAGAGGGCTCACCAAGTAAAGCTGGGTGAGCGCTCTGTCCCTTAAAACATCCCCTGTTTCAATGGTGAAGTTGCGCGAGACCTTCGTTTCAATGGTGAAGTCGCGCGAAACCTTTGGGGAGTCATTGATTTGCAGACAGTCAGCAGCTATCCTAATTGAAGGATTTTTGATTGTCCGCCCCGTATAGTCTAAACGGGTCCCAAGTGGCTCAAAGATCGTTCCCACGATATCCGTTTCAGCCCTCACGATGGTTTCCTGGCGTTAATTTGGGAAGAACAACTGGGCGATGAGCAGTCTGCAATTGGAGAGACGTTTGGGGGTGAAGTATCGGGAGGTCTCCTCTATGGCCGCATGTTCCGGTAGATTCCAGGTGCCCCTATACTGGGTAACGAGCCATTTGCCGATGTTTGTTCCTCAAGTTGGTGGATCCCCTTCCAAGAGAGGTTACTCCTGTGCGCTGATCGTTTTTTTTGGAGGCCCGACTTGGAAAGCCTTTCTTGGAAGGCCCAAGTATTATGAAACCGTTTCTAGCAGTTCCTGGGGGTTCTGACAACAGATAAAAATCAATCAAAGAACAGGGGAAAAAACATCAGGGAAAAGCTTTTGGCCAAAGTATTTTTTGGGAGGCGCAACTGGTTTCGTCGGGTCGGCCTGAAACGCCATTCGCTTGGCCAGCAACTGGGCCTGCCCACCCGCGCGGAGCTCGCGAAGGAGGAGCAGAAGAAGCGCCAGGCGCGATGAAACCGAAATCGGGGCATTTTGTCATGGCGGGAAAATGGGACACGGTACCAGAAGAAGACGGATATGGCTGTGGTTGTCAAACCGTTTTGGGATCCCTTTTTGGTTGGTAGATTGGAATGTTCACTGGGAGTGCGATTTCGATTTTGACCCATGGCCAAATCAACCGTTGAAACCGAAATCGGCATTTTTTGTAGTGCGGGTGGGAACGCGGGACACGGTACAATATATACGGACCCCCTGGCAATTTGGTATCTTGTTTCCAGGATCTGTTATTTCCCTAGGGGTTAGAGTCAACTGTTTCCCAGTCCTGGCTTCTGGATTCCCATTAATTTGTTTTTTGGTCCAGAGAGTCCTTGGTGCGAGTGTTCAATGGGAGCCCCAATTCAATCGCTGTGCGATCCCAACAAGGCAGTTGTGCGTCTTTTTCAGGTTGTGATGGGATCCCATTGCCCGATGAATGGTGTCCCTTTCATTTGCCCCTAAACCGGTCTCCTGCAAGACGGAATATGAAGCAGACTCTGAACAGACTCCCTTTTTGGGGGTGTTTTAAAAGGAAAGCTTGTGGCAGCCAGTTTGAGACCATGTGGGCGAAGTAAACTTACCCTAAAAAGGGCCAGAAGGTCCCAAGAGGACTTTTGTTTCTCGCAGAATCCCCAGGTTCGAGTCTATGGAAGGGTACCCTCAAAGAGAACGTTCAGAGATCGTGTGCAGTGGAGTAAGTTTTTAAAGTAAATTCAAACCCCCAAAAGGATCGAACTTGTTCTGGTCGGTCCGTCTGCAAGAATCGACGCGATTCTTCTGACAGGAAGAGCTGCAGCGACAGCAACAGCCTCCCGGCGGGTTTTAAGAAGACCTCATCATATGAGCAACGGACAGTATCATCTACTGTTTCAGGGATGACATGGGGCACATTCTCCAAATGACCAGAGGGGTTACTCACCAAAATACCATGTCAGGGGACAGTGAATATTGACCGAGGCTATGAGCAATTGAGGGGGTTGCTCCGAGCCTCTCAAAAAAGCACAAGGGAAGATCATGAAGTATTGGGTTGGTCTGATTTCCTTGTAAAGGGACCAAGCCGTCCCCTGAGGTGTGTGCCCTTTTGGGGTTTAACCAACAAAAAGTTGAACTTTTGGCATAGGATCTGAGGACGCCCAGTTTTGTACCCTTCCAGCAGGGTCTTTGGATCGACCCTGGATAGTATTGCTGCGGTATCGGTTTTCCGTGGTCCCTGCGCGCTTTTGCAGGTTGGGAAACGCTATGCTTCTTTATGATATCTGATATCAATCGCTTTTTCGCGGTAATATGGTCATCGGCATTCAGATTTGGGGGTTTCCAAAAGTCTGTCCAACTGCGGTTCCCTTAAACTAAGCAACAGGTTGATAAGAATGAAGGCCGATCCCCAATTTGTTCAATTTGGATCATGCCTGTTGCCCTCTGATTTGGACAGGTTTTCCCAGGTCGGGGTTGACTTTCGGACAGTTTTGTATGTCCTCTTGGGCTATTAGGCTCAGGACTCACGGTATCTACAGAGTCTGGGAGACGAACTGGTGCCGGTGTTGGTGGTGTTGGTGTTGGTGTTGGTGCTGTTTTTGTTGGTGTTGGTGTTGGTGTTGGTGTTGTGAGACGAAAACACTTGGTTCAACCACCTGAAAGATGAAAGAGAGGGAACCTTCATAGGTTGAGATCGATCGAGGTCCATTGCTTTCAAAGGAACGTCGCTGGGGCCTGGACCCACAAAGCCGCGTTGTCACCGTCGGGCGGGGAAGTGCGGTATTTTGGTTCTTGCTTGGGGGAGTTAACGAGCTCGCTCATGATAAAGATCCCGTTTTGTGGTCCTTCGTTCATTCGTGTGAATTGAATACTTCCTCGGGTATGTTTGGCAGCTAGGTAGTCTGCGAAACCTGCTTTGTCAGCTGCCAGGAGCATGGCGAGTATCAACTCATCGGTTCTTTTTCTTGACTCGGGGAGCTTTCATCCATGAGCAACGTGGATTCCAGCTGGGTGAAGGTTCTGAATTAGCAGCTGTTCTTGACGTTTGGTTCCTGTTTATTGTGAACAACGTTGACGTTTCAACTCCACCAGTCATTGGTTTTGGTGGCTCCCAGCCATCCCTTTAGCTTTTTAGCTGTGTAGTGTTTGGTGATATTTTCCATTTAGTCCACTAAAAGTTAAACTTGTAGCGGGGGATCTGAGGACAGCTTCCCCATCCTTTCCAAGGATCCTTCTTTTCAAACCACCAAAAACTCTGGGGAAAAGAACGATGGTTGAACAGAATGGTTGGAATCAACCCCTAGAAGTGTGGCCTAAGAACGAGGTTTGTGCCTCCAAAGAACGAGACTCGATCCTTCGTTTTCGGATCGGACTTCGTGCTCCGATGTCCGAGGCTTTGGGCGCAGCAGCGGGGGGCCACAGATGCCTCGAGGAACCAAAGTCTCTCGGGAGTAGCCCTTTGACCCTTTTTTTGGGGAGGGTTCCCCTACAGAAAAAAAAAAGTACCCTTATTCTAACCTTTCTACTGCAGGACCTAGAGGGGGTTCAAGAAGCTTGCTTTGGGGTCGTTTCAAGGTTTAGGGGGTAGTGTTGAGCGTGTCACACTAAAATGGACTCAGTTAAACAACTCGACACCCCGAAGATGCAGTTTATCATGGTCCTTGGAAGACGAGGTGCCAAGATTGCTGGTTTCTCGCCGAAGAGCTTGTACCCAAACCGAGGATTCCCATGATAACCAAGGCAACCATGTTCGGGCTTGCCCATCTTAATATGTGTGAATCCTCCTTTTGGGTGTCTTGCCGCTGATCTATGCCCCTTCTCATCGCCAGCTCTGCTTCACGGGTGTTGCATTTTCCTCAGCATGTCTGCTCATTTCACCTCCGAGCTTCTCTCTGACACGGGAACAGCATGCTGCTTCAAGGAGCCAAACAACAGGGACACAGGCCTTGTAAGGCCCTGAAGAAAAGAAGAGCCTGACCTCCTTGCCTAGCTTGCCTCCCTGCTTGACTGCCTGACTGCCTGCACGTTGCTTTGCGGTGGTTTGCCAATTGAATCCAAGCTTCGTTCACCGGAGGCTTCGCAGGGCTCGCGCCCTTCGGCCCATTGAACATTTGTGGGTAGCCTCTTTTTGGTTGACCTCCTAAACCCCAGGTCACAGCCACATGGGGGCGTTTTTTTGAGGAACCAAAAGGAACATCAATCACTTGGGGGGGTGCCCCGATTTTGAGACAACCCCGGCCCCAAAGATTCTCTTCGCTTTAGACCACGTCGATTCGCTCAGGTATTACAGCCAGCAGCAGCAGCAAGGCCTGCCAGCGCCGACCCCACAATGGATGCTGCCGCAGGGCGAAGGCCGATGGCCGGGATCAAGTCGGCAGTGGAAGTGTTGTCAGGGAACAGTGTATGGGTTTGTCTGGGTTGGTTTCTGTTGGTTTCCTTTTACGACCCCAAAATGGGCACTCTCAAACAAGGACACACCCAAGAGGGGACCCGCTTAACGGGTTCGAATGAACGGGCTCCAATCGCTTACAAGGCCAATAATGTGTGTAGCATCCGAAAGGAACCCACTTGGAACCCATTCGAGGTCAGCCAATGTGTGTGTGTGTGAGACAGGATCCTATAAAATCTGAGGTGCCAGTTTGCCATTTTTGATACCCAAATAACGTTCCCTCATATGCAGTTGTGGCAGGGCGCTATCTGAAACTAAGTGGGTCTCACGCCCTCCATATCATGTGTGTCTGTGTGTGTGTGTCTCTTTTGAGGCCATCGTTTTTGGTCAGGTGTTCTGGGGGAACCCGAAGAAATCGTTTGCTTTTTGGGGCCGGCACGATTTCGCGAGCCGGGGCGAAATGCGCACAATATATTTGACTTCCTGGGGAATTTGAATGGATATTTGTGACTGAGTTTTCCAGAGCTATTGGGGTCAGTAAATGTTCAGGGCATATTCAAGAGAAATTAAAATCCGCTTGTACAAGTTTTGCCTTACAAGCTTCTACCGCTTGTATAGGAACGTCCATACATCTGAAACTCATACCGTGAACACTGCCTTAGCGATTTTGCTCAAATTTACATTTTTGTTGGAGACGGTGATGGGAGATGCCTTGCTTGAAATTCGACCTTCAACGTTCTGATGTAGCAATCGATATTTCGCAGGTACGAACCCAGCCGGGTTAATCCGAGCTTGATTCATCGGAAAGCTCTTCTTTCCACCTTCTGCGACCACTTTTTAAGCCGGAAGCCTCCATGAATACCAAGACGGGTTCTCAGCCGTGCACAGAAACCATATCAACGGACTAGGAGCCACACGAACAGCCTGACTGTGGGGTGGAAGAACATTTCCTTTAAAGTCTGGGTGGGGTCCATGGCAACGTGGACAGGAGGGTACAAGGGGATTTGGGAGCTGGAATTTAGAAAGAGAGTGTTTGTATAATATATATATATATATATATATTACGTGTCAGTTTAGGTAGCTTCCTCGTGTCAATCTGCGTGTTGGGTTTTGGACTCCTCATCAGCAGGTGTCCATGATCTCGTGCAAGCGGCACGCTTCACCGCTGGTCATGAGGGTATGTAGTCAAAGGGGTGGCTGTGTCTTCAAACTGACCCATAGTGAGTTGTTTCTTTGGTCTCCCTTTAGCGTGGTTGTTGTTGGGAAACATTTACATTTTTGCCTATTGTGGTTTAGTGGAAAATCCCCACTTAACTGCTGAAATTTAAGTTTTTGCTCCCCTTCCAACGTCAACCAAGTTAGTTCCACTGTGGCAACTGCTTGGCCCCATCTCATCCCCCATGGTTGGCGTACGGATGGCTGATGTTTGGATCCGAATCGGCACTTCGATCTTGGAAGCTACTTGCACCTCCGTGAAAACGAACATGGAGCCTGGGCAGCGGCCTTTTTCAACAAAGAGACGCGGACTCCCCAACAACACAACAAAAAAAGCAAGATCCTGGATAGCTATAGTGTCTTTGACACCAACTACCTCAACACATAAGGTCTTTGGGTTTTGTTAGGGCCAATGGGCGTCCCCATTTGAAGGTGACTCGGAGATCGCCAAGCCCAAGGTCACCAAGGCGGGGATGTTCAGCGGATTCGTAGGTCCTAGCCATGGTTATATCCGAAGCAAGGGCGGGTTAGTCGCTTGGTCCCCTAACCATGGTTGTAACCTACTTGACGTCTGACGATGGGAGTAGTCGTCATGCCAAAGCTCTGTCCACTTGGTTCTGTTTGAAGCTGCTCACGAGGTCGATTGGTCGCATGAGTCGCATCTCCGAAGCTTTTTGAGGGTCTCTCGAAGGTCAGCAGGGGAGGGATTTATAGGTTTCTTGTTTTGAGGGTACGCTTTGGGGGTTGAAAGGAAGCCGATCTTATTGGGGGCCCCCTATTTTGAGGCACACCCATCTGCATTTGAATGTCTCCTGAAACTTGGCTTTTGCATCTGCCTTTGCTCGCGGTGGTTACCTCGAAACAACCACCAAAATGGTCCCCCCGCCCTCCATAAAGAAAGGATGCCCCTTCATTTGGGTTCTGGCAGGCCCCTTTTCCCGGCACGCTGCAAACAATGTGCTTCCCCTGCCGCAAGCCTTCCTCATGTTGTCTTGGCTTCCAGGGCAAGCGAGCGGCGGTTGCGCTATGCATCAGCAATGACCCAGAGCAATGTAATTATTGAAGGGGGTTTCCTTCAGCTGGTTCCCGTACATTGTCCCTTTGAAGACGAAGGGGAGAGGGTTCCCCCCACCCCATTTTTTCCCTGCTAAAAGGTGGATATAACATTTTTCCGTAGCCTTGCCAGTGGATGCACTGAGTGCGAGCTCAACTGCTCAATCCCGAATCGCCATATGTGTGGCGGGACAGCTGCTACTTAGCTTGGGGCCTGCGTAACCTGGAGTTATGTCCTCCTGTCTGATCATCGTTAGTCTTCCAACATTGGGCAAAATGTGATTAAACAACAAGAACGTGGTCCCCTTTCTGAAAAGCCAAAGGCAAGTCATGTCCACAATATCATTCGATTAAGCAAAGTTGGCACAACCCTTTGTAACAACTCGCTGCAACCTATGGGGCTAGCATGAGCGCATCTCCTTATGAGGGCCTCTAGGTGAATTTTGAGAAACGCCCCTTGAACTGTTGTTGGGAATCGGAGGAAATGTGTGTTTCTCCACTAGCCAGCAAAAGTTCAAGACTCGTCTCAGGCTGGTACCTCTACCAATCATAGCGATGCGGGAGCAACAGGATTAGTTTTCTGTGCAGGCAATAGCCACAGCGGGTCCCCCTACCTTCCCAACCCCCTCCCCTCCTTCCAGGAGATCCTGTTGGTTTCACGTTGATTTTCTCCAAAAGGTGTATCCTCGAGAATACACTCCCAATGTTCCTCCCAAAATGGTGAAACACTGCAGGGTTTCAACTTGTTCTCTTCCCCCAGGCCCTAAGCCCTTGAGGACATCCGCCATACCTTCAGCCCATCAGCCAGGAGATCACGCGTGAGAGCAGTCCATTGGACCTGAAAGCCGGCATGGACGTGGCGGTGCTGAAGACCAAGGTGAGCCAGGCGTGGTCGGAAAGGTTGTTTTAGCGGCGTTTTTTTTTTCTTTCCGCGGAGGCGAGATTCGGTGTCCCTTCAAACCTACCTAAAAGGACAGCCCTAAAGACACGCACACACAAGTTTGTATGTGGGTTCCTGTTTTTTGACCTTCTTAGTTCAAGGACTCCCAAAACTGGTTGGCGGTCGACAGAACAGAGACCTCTACAGCACAGCGCCCGCTCCAGCATTCGCTCGCAGATTGCCGCGGTCATCATTGGCGATGATGAATTTGAGGCCGACACGCCTTTGATGGAGGCCAGACAAGGGACAGTTGTTTGACGAGCGCATGTGTCTATTCTAACTTCAACCCAGTTCTTGCTAAACCCATTGTTCTTTGCCACCAGTGAAGAACGCAACAGTGGGCTCTCGCTGTTCCATGGAGAAGCTAGTAGCCGTTGACCCCAGCATTCAAGTCTCGAACTCATCTCTCGCCCACTTTTCCGGGTGGTGTTCAACAGGGTTGTCCACATTGCTTGCAACTCGACCAGCACCCTTCAAGGAAAAGGAGGATATTCGATCAGCAATGGTTCAAGAATGTGCAATCAGGTGCCCAACCCTGGTGAAGACAAACCCTTTTTGGACAAGTATGATCCCGGCAGTCCGTCCGGATCGTAAGCACATCAGAGCGTTCCGACATTGTCCAGGAAACCGGGGAGCCATAGAAGAGGCTAATAGAGGAATACCTTTTCGGCCCTGGGGGGTACCTGACGTGTTTTCCGAGCGCTGGGTGTTTCTATGTTGCGTGGTGTGCAAGGGCAGGTCTTTGAAACGTGCACCATGCGGCCAAGTGGTTAACATTGACTGTAAAAGCCCTTGGGTCGGTAAGGAAATCCGAAGGAAGCCAACCAACAAGCAACTGAGAGGGTTCTTTTGGGTGCGGTTGCAAAAGGGAAACCGAAAAAACACAAAAAAGTTTTTGGAGCACCCAGCATGATTGTCCTAGTGCGAGCACTTGCCTTGTCACACCGGTCACCATTCCTCGCACAGCCGTAGCACCTGTGCGAGTGTTACTGAAAGATCAGTTTCAATTTGCAGGGATCCCCTGTCAGCTACCACGTTAGTGAGAGGAGGGTACAGTCGACTCTCATTTTGGCAAGAATTTGAGGTGTTTGTCGGGTGTCCCTGTCTAATCCCGCTGTTCAATGGCACCTTTTCCCCTTTTTTGTTTGGCAAGGAGCGACAACTTCGGGCCCCTACCCCAAGAAAGATCTTAGACCCCGCTTAGGTTTTCCCCTGCAAGCCATGGCTTGTGGGTGCATGGCTGGACTGCAAGACCAGCTTTCTTTGGATCCGAACAGAAAGAGCTCGCCCCCTGACTCCAATAAGGACACATGAATGGGCGTGGCAAAACTGTCAGCGTCCTATTCCTCTTGCTGGTGCTCAGCAATGAGAATTGGAATGCTGCTTGTAAACCATCCAGGTGGTTTCCTTCAAGGACACCCCTGGGTTCATTCCATTTCTCATTCCCTACGTATCGCACCGATCGCAAGTCCTGTAACCCACAAAGCCCCGCCTCCGCCCGCGCACGTCGACCTGGCCCTCGCGCAGGCCGGGCTGACCAGCAACGCGGCTGTGGCCTTGAGGGATGAGCTCTCGAAGGATTTGCCCGGCGGCTCAGCGGGGGAGCGGACAACGAAAGCGACGTCTGAGATTCGGCGGCTCAGCGGGGGATTTTCCCGGTATTCCTGGGTGACATGCCACAGAGGCACGCATATGTGCCTACTGTATTTTATTGAGGTTCCCTTGGTGGCGTGAAGAGTGTATGAGACAGGGCCAAAACTGTTCAAATGAACGTTTGGGACCGCGATGGGGGCCACAACAAACAAACGACTTTACAAGATAGCGCTGCGACATGACAGACTAAAACCTGGAAATCGAAAGGGTTACTAAAAACAGCGTAGATATTCAAAGTTCAGGGTAAATAAGAGCGAGGTGACCCGACCTCTGTGAATTCGACCTATGCTGAAATATGAGTCTGGGAGAAATTCAGTTGTGTCATGCCCGCAATACACCCGCTAGTCAGTGAGCTGAACTCCCCATCGAGCTGCTGTCCGTTGCGCCCAGAATTCCATGGGGGGAGGTCCACCTCTTAAGTTCGGTAAAGGAGTTGCTGCCTCGAGCTCTTCGTGATGTTGAGGAATAGCAGTGCCAAAACCTACATTATTTCAGATCGACCTTCGATATACATAACATAAACAGGACACATTGTAATCATTGACCCCGAAAGTTGAACATGACTTTGATGGTAGCTCAAGGGGACATGCAAGTCACCCTCACTCTACCCGGGAGGGTCATGCTGTACAACACATGGCAACACATCTACTTAAAGAACCTGGGTGCAAGGGCGCTGCCATCATATTGTTTTGAACCTAACCTTTTTATGAGCAACACTCCCAGATCGGACTCTGATTTGGGGTTGGCCAATGAGCACACGAATAGCGTCAGCGGGGTTACTTTTGACCTTTTAGGGGAAAGAGGGACTTCCAAGAACCTTTTGTTGAAGCTTCCCCTAAAAGCTTCCCAAGGTAGAACCTTCAAGAACTCTTTGAAGCTTCCCACCGAACCCTTCGGGGTGCGAAGGCTCTACCCATGGCTCCGTTTCTTTCGACGCGTCCGCGGTTCCTTGCCAGGCCAGGCATCAAGCTCCCGCACACCTTGATTTTCGACTACCCTTCCGTGGCGGCGCCTCGAAAGAGAGGGACGGACAGCAATCCCCAAGATGGAATCGGAGTAAGGGGGTTGCTCATGGCTCATGGTGTCCTGGAATTCCATCATTGGTCCCATGTTCTCCGTTGCGGGCTTAGCTTCACTGTTGCTCCGGGCCTTTCTTGGAGTGGACCTTTTGCCTGATTCATGTTCTTTCACTGTCCCTTGCGGTATGCTTCCAGCAGTCCTCTCTCCGGTCGGCCAGTGTCACCACATGGCGTTCCAATTTGAGACCTAATTAGGGGACCTTGCAGGCAACCGCAGTGTGCCCACCGGGCATTGATCTAAAGTGCTGAGTGCCTTTGTTTTCAACCTTAGGGGGACGGGACTCAGGGCATTGCCGACTTCGTCGTGGACCAGAGCCACATGATCGCTGGGTGATGCGCGCTGAAAGGTGCAGAGACGTGAAGTCGCTCGAGCCCAGTCGGAAAAGCGGGCGCAATCGCTGCGGGCTGGGTTGTGGGGACCCAGACCTCCCAGCGGTGACCATTTCATGTTTGGTCAACAAAAAAGCGGACAAGGGAAGGCGCCTTTTGCCATGACGAGTGGAGGATGGGATGTGTATCAACTGTTGGTCTCAGAGTAACAATCCTTGGGCTTTTTCCCTTCATCCCACCACTTGAAAGCCAACTTGTGATACCAGGGAGACCCCCTTGAAGTAAAGAACGAAGCTGGAGAGCCTCTGGTACCACACAGTCAACCGTCCACGGCTGGCAATTGAACTTCCACCGACTGTTCCGAATTTGGCAGGCCGCATGTGCAAGCCAGAAAACATGAGCGGGATCGTCCGCGAACTGAATATGAGCAAGGTCAATAAACATCACCTGTGGTAGAGGGGATGATTCACCATATCACTACACCATAGGCTCTCGGCCAGAGAGTACCATTAGACGCTTAGGGATTGCAGAGATTAGCCAATTTACCAAGAACCCACGATCGAGCCAGTCTGGGAGGTTTCCAAGCACCAGTTGATCGATTCCATTTCCATGCAAGCTAAACCGATTAGTGCATTGCAGGGTTTCATGAATTTGGCTATGGGAGGTTCTCGAATCGGACCCTAGTTTGGTGCTTGAAGGGACACCAACAGGAAGCTCTTTCCATTATAGGGACTCGTATATTGAGATGCCCGTATGGGGGGTGCCTTCTTAAATCTATGAACAAAATTATGCAAAGATAGGTAAAACATGTTTGCGAAGGGTCTGCCAAAGGGTTCTACATTCATCGCACAAGGCCTGCAATTGGGAAAAGGTTTGTAGAACACTAGGCCTCGGCAGGAAATGCTGCTGCATAGCTGGCGCAACTGGCGCAACTGCCCCTTCTCACCACGATAATCTACGTGCCACAGGGCTTCCTCCATGTTTTTGTTTTTGGCGATCGATTGAATGGGAACCATCAAAGTGGCGGTTTCAAAGGGAACCGCCAGCAAATTCATCAACCTTTTGGAGAATTCCAGTGACAACTGTCTAGGCGTTGATTCTCCATTCTTTTCAACCATCGTTCTTTTCAAAAACCTGCCGTTTCCCTGGGTTTCTGAAGGTTTTCTAGAAGGATTCCTGGAAACAATGGAAATGGAAGCTACCCCTAGGAACTGTACCCAGCAACTCGCACGCGCAGCTGTTCATCGCTCCGAAGCCGCGCGCTCCGTTCGCGCTCCGTTCGGGCGCGCCGCGAGAACATTGTCGCCATGAGGCTAGTGCCAGATGCCCGGTGCGACGGGAATTGATTTTGGCGCTCCAGAAACCCAGCCGGATCCCAGCATCGTCCCTTTTTCGGGTTTGGCGATGCACGAAACATGGAATCTGCCAACCAAACATAAATTGGTTCAAGTTTGTTTCGACCAGTTTTGGTTTGAAGGACTTCTCGTTTCTTTTGGTGTCCCTTCAACCCCATTTGAAACACCAGCTCCCTAGTTTGAGCCATACCCGTATCTCTTTTATCGAGAATTCAAGAATGTGGTGTATTTGATTTGAGTTGCGCTTAGCCCAATCCAGAAGCCAAGGTTGCTCGGTGCCCTAGCACGCTTTGAGGAAACTTTTGATTGCCCTTCGAGAAATGTTTTGTTTGGCCGGTTAAACTGATCTATGTTGGAAACGAATCGGAAATCAAGCCGGAATCGCCTGGTAAAAAGATCAGAAACCCAAGCTCGCATGCTCCTGTCTGTTTTTGCGACTGCTGAATCTGAGCCTATTCTGGCTGGACATTGCACAACAAGCCCGACGATATTTCGGGTCACCCTTGATGGGTGGTATGGATCGATGACTCGGGGATGTCCTCCGTTGCATCGATTGGCACACCCGATGAATCCAGCAGCCAAAATACCCACGCCACTCTCTGGGTGGTGTCCCTTGTCCTTGAAACGAATCCTCTTTTTCGGCAGCGAGCCTCAAAAGCACAACCATGTCATTTGTCAATGCCAACTCAACCCCTGGTCCGCAAGTGGGCTTATCATGCCCTCATGGCTTTTGGCTTCTGGGGGCAGGCCGCAACAAGACAGACACAGCTTGCTGTGGAGGGGACACATTCAAATCGCCCGTGCCAAGGCAGAAGTTCCTTGCCCTGCGTTCAAAATGGAATTGTGCGGTGTTTCGGTTTAATATGACCATCTGTGAAAGGATCCTGAGCCTTATGGTAGCTCAACCTGAACCAAATCATGTTGACTGGCGTCTCTTTTGGTTTTAAGGCTCACTACAGACCACAATAAAGCATGTGCGGGGAGTTCAATCATATGGCCTCGTTTTGGACCCGGGTGCCGCCTTGTGCCGCTGCCTTGTGCCGCTTTTTTAAAGGGGATGCCCAAAATCGGCCTCGAATTTTGACAACCCTCCACAATATGGAGGGCTACTTAGGTTTTGGTTGGGGCCAAAAGCTGAGGGCTGAAGTTGACTCGCTCCCATTTGTCATACCAAGGTTGGTGCCGGTGCTGCTGGCGATG